CTCGTTCTTCTTGTTTATTTTCTCGTTCTTCTTGTTTATTTTCTCGTTCTTCTTGTTTCTTTTGCTGCTCTTGTATTGCTGCCATCAAGTCTGCTAAGCTGTAGTTTGATTTGCCGCTTCTCGTTTCCATTTTTTTCCTTCTTTTTTTGTCCCACTCTCTGACACCAATTTGTTACGTCTTCGTTCGTTAGTTAATTTTCCGTAATTTCGTTCCGACGAAACTTTAGCGACACAAGTCCTTTCTTAAATAAAACTGGTTTATTCTTTCCGAATACAACTTTACGATACACTTAATTTCAACAGTCGTTCTATAACAAACGCTATAACTCATGTCTCACGTGGCCAACAATATTCTGTCCGCATACATACAATTACTCACTACCTCCCCGTCGCTTCGTGGCCGGTCTTATATATACAAGACTACACTATATCTAGAAGGATCACGAGATTTAAGGAAAAGACTTGAATGTTCGAGAATGACGTGGCGTGATACTAGTCACGTGACCTCGATGTCGTAACAATACTATAGTCTAATAGGCCGATCTCATACAATAAAACATTGTTATTACGCCATTATTTATGAGACTGATCGTTCATTATAACAGGAAATGTTATTTAAACATTTACTTTCATCTGAACTTTATAAATTATCTAGTAAAGTTTCACGAACAAGAATACAGGACTTGCTGATTATCAATAATTCTCTTGTTATAGCTGATATGTTATGGAACTAGTTGTGGTAGATTTTTATATGTTATTTCACACAAACTACTGTTCCAAGCCACGAAAAATATTTATTTCTATAAAGATGTTCTGATCTGTTCAAATAAATTTGTTTGTTTGTAGTTAAGCACAAAGATACACACAATGAGCTATCTACAATATGCCCACTACGTACATCGAAACCCGGTTGCTAGCGTTATAAGTCCGCAGACTTACCACTGTGCCACTGGGGTGCATTGAAATGAGAAAAAAAAATAATCTTTAATATTAAAAATAAGTTAAAATCTTATTCATAATTGGTAACAAACAGAATACATTACTATTAAACTAATTCCTTTCTATAAAAAAATAACGAAAACGAAAAGCTATATTAAAGTATATACAGAACAAATATAAAATTAAATTGTATATATATATATAATCATCAAATAGTTGGTCAGCTGTATACATAGAATAATGAACTCCACGAAATGTCATATTATTCACAAACCTAAATTAATTTAGGTTACTCCATTGATTCAAAACTCCATAGATATAAAAAATTAAATTAAATTTTAATAAGTATAAGTCAAAAGAATATTTATAAACAACTAAAATAAAAATGCACTCATCATAAGACTTATGAGAATTTTAAATTATAGTAGTTGAAAGAAAATATAACTTATATGTACTAATTTTGAAAATTGTAGTGAAATTTGTATGTTTTTACGCAAACATGTGAGACAAGTCCTATAATAGAAGAAAAATGATCTAATTTTCCATTTCCCATAAAAATATTATTCAATGTTTTGCTACTGAAAAATTTTAAAACTATTTGACCTATTGCATAAACTTTTAGTATTTTTATCTTTTTTGTACAGCAACCAGAGAAATACTAAGAATTTGTAAAAAATGTCATAGTTCTCGATCAAAAAGATTGAACTTTTATGTTCTTAAATCTGAAATAACCCTTTTTACTACGAGCTTTGCTCCCTCCCCCTCCCCAAAAGGATAAATTTATAAAAATAAAAAAATAAAAAAAACACTGCAAAAGAATTTGTTTCATATTTATTCTGGAACTACCAGAACACATCAAAGACTTCTATCAATATCAGACAATACCAAAAATTTCAATCTTTACGAGACAATACCAGAATATTTTAACTGACAATTCCGAGAAATTATTTCATTGCGATTCACAGAAATAGTTTCTAGAATAAAAATCATAAACAAGAAAATTACCACTTCAATTGATTATTTAGTTTCTGGTATACGTTTTCACTCGAAGTTCCATAACTTCTAAGAAATATAAAGGTGTATTCAACGTACTATCTAAGATTTTAGTGTTTTGTCTGTCAATAATATATATATATATATTACACAATTTAGAACACTAAAAAACAAGATATGTTTCAACTTAAAATGTATCACATTCTTGGTAAGAAAATGGATTATTACTTACGAACAATTTTAAAAGACTTCGCGCTCAGTACGCGACACGCAGATCGGCGACAGTCCATTTGGGGATCTGAAGACGACAGTAAAAGTAACTGTATATTTTTCTAGTCGCTAACATAAGTTAACTAGCCATTTCCTTGTCAACCAGACAGTAGAATTAAGTTTTAAGTTAATCAGCTATCTCATTGGTCAACTCAAAGAACAGGCTGATTGTTACACCCTTACTAACATTGTAGGCCATGGTCGTGTGGAAGATATGTAAAAGGTCGATCTTACAACGAGTAGGGGAGAAAGCTTCTTAATTAGAAAATTGTCGACTTAATAAGGATACTATGCAAGATTCGGTACATGCACGAAGAACTGTGTATTATTTAAAATTAACAGTTCTTTTTTCGTTGCAGGAATGGCCCATTTTTAAGCAAAGTTTTATATCTTTTGCTCACGATGTTTTGAATTGTGAACAATTCAATACAGGACTGGGATATATATATTGGAAAATGAAATATTCAAAATGACAAAAGTGATTATTAATATTATGCAGGAAAAACAAATAAAAAGCATATTGATATTATGCATTGTTGTTGCTTTTTCATTTTTTGGACTAATATTAGTTTGTAAAATTGGAAACAATTACTGAATTTTTATCTTTTTTATTACGTATTACTACATAAATAAAGTGATTTAATAAGCTTTTCGAAAAATTGGAATACTAAAGTTAATTTATATTACCGTTGGAATTTTATATTACAACGGGCCGAGTGCGACCCAAAAGTTTAGTGGGCCGGACTGTGGATCTGAGATTTTACAGTTCGTATCCCGTTATCAAAAGATACATGTTGTTGCGTCATCGAGG